AACCCCCCATAGGGTGGTGGTTACCCTGAGATCCCTTCTCCTCCATTTCTTCATCCTGTCAGGACATTGGGCACACATGCATACGCACCAACTGGCTTGTTAAGCCACCAAGGTTGGGATTCAAACTGTGGTCGGTCATGTCAAGAAATCACCCCCTAGGGAATGATTGGGCTGAGGCTGGGGATGGATCGCAGCCTGAAGACCCTGCAGCGAGTACTTGTCTCTCTCACTCCCTCCCTTTCTCTCTCCCTGTCTCTGTCTTCTTCTCTCATAGAAGAAATAAATAAATAACCTGGGGAACAAAGAGAATTAAGTAAATACATCTTCCAGTCTTTTCAGTTAAGAAGAAATTTATATTCTTTAAAACCTTGAAGTGAGGGACCAGCAGTTAGTGTAATGGCTATGTCGCTGGACTCCCACGTAGTCGACCGCGGTTCGTGTCCCGGACCCGGTGGCTTAAACTCACGCCGGGAGCGTGTGCGTGCGTGCCCAAGATCCCGAGAGGAGAATGGAGGAGAAGGGATTGTGGCATGGCCATCCCCCCTGGGGGGTGATTTTCTGCTTTCTGTCTCTCTGTCTCTCTCTGTCTACCTGGCGAGTAAAAAAAAAAAAAAAAACTCAAAAAAAAAAAAACCTTGAAGTGATATAATAAGATCAGAAGTGCTATCTCAGCTGTGCCACCTCTGGGCTGTGTGACTTTCAGAGAGTTACTTAACCTCTCTGTGTTTTGACTTCCTTATCTGTAAAATGGAGTTAATAATTCCTTACTTCCTGGGGCAATTATGAATATGAAAAATAATGCACAAGAGGCACTCCTCATTAGCATGTAACAAAAGATGCAGGATTAAATTTAAGTCTCTTCCTCTGTCATCAGTGAACTTTTTAAAAAATTATTTAATTATTATTATTTATTATTATTTTTATTATTTTTTGTTATAGGCAACACAGAGAGAGAGAAAATGAGAAAGCAAGACACCAGATCCAGGACTCGAACTGTGGTTGACCATGTGGGAGACCAGAACCTTAACCACCAAACTACTTGCTGGCCCATCACTGAACTTACCAAACTACATTATTCACAGTCTTAGCAGTAATTTCCATCTCGTTTCATTGTGTTTTTTTTTTTTTTCCCTCTTCTTCGAAGGGCTGTTGAGTGGCCAGCC